TGCTACCATAATAATGAAAAAATAAGAAATCAAGATTGAAACTATTCAAAACTAGCAAAATAATTATTAGTAAGCTCAACACATCGAGAAATAGTAATTGGAGTTTAAACGACATAGCATGCGGGCGTTGAGCCTCAAAACGAGGATGACACTGTGAACTTTTCATCCAATTCGCAAGCTGAATCATAAACTCAGCGGCACTGCCTCCATTTCTAGAACAAAATATACGCCAGGTACATCCCAGATGGATATGATGAATTTCGAACTTCAACAACCTATACCAGCACCGGCGGGATTGAGAAATCGCTCACGGAGCGCTTTCTCATGGAGCGACTCTCTCGCGGTTGTTCCGCTCCACAGTACGAAGAACGCCTTAAGACCTTAAAGATAAATTTGCAACTGAATTAAGATGAGTAAATGGATCCAGTAGAAGTGACTGGCTTCCGCCACCCACTTCGATAGATTGAGACACGTCGGTCTCGTCGCCAGACAAGATCCCCAAGTAGGAGCCAGCATTCTGTATCGAATAGAACGTTTATGACTTCAGAATAGACGTCACGTATGCAATTTTTAACACCATGCGATAACCTTCTTTATCAATTCTCACAATGCATGCAAAAGGTACATCTATGTACCGTCATGTAATGTCCTATTCTAGCCCATTTGAACATGTCATATCGGTTAGACCCGACCAGCGCAAAACTGCTTCTTCGTTGTGTTTGGCGCGGAAGTTAGCAGCCCTTCGGCTCTCGTCTTAATGATGGGAGGCTAAGAATTGAAGTAGTTTGTGACGGAATTTTGCGCACCTTGCATGGATAAATTTTTACGAGTCAGCTTTGATTGACCACAGAATTTGTATTTGTATGCTCCACTCAGAAGCGGAACCGATGGCCTGATAGGTAATTTAGGTATTTTGCCTCAATTCACAAATGAAATAGATTTAAAAAATGCAAAATAAGATACTTAATTCATCTATTTTCATAAACATACGACTATGTAATACAAAGTGCGTGGCTGGCACACAGACTGATCTTCTTTGAGGTCTCGTCACTTCCATTTGTACCAGTACGTGTTATAGTATACAAGTTTTTGGCTCTCAGTCCGAGAAATAATAGTGTAATGGGAAGGTGAACGATAATAAGGCATCTATTCCGGTTCATTTAGCCAAATGAATGGGAATGAGCAAGGGCACTATCTATCATGGACTTTGCGCTGAATGAACATTCAATGAGCACCTCTTGCGCTGGGAGTTTGTCTCCACTTGTTCAACTTATCAGTGCCAGCACATACGAACATAGTTCAGTCGATGCATGAACCGGTGCGAAAGTCGCCGCGCTTAGACAGCCGAGATGAAAGACAAATGGCCATGGTGACTCTACAAACACCGACCTAACACATGTACACTCAAGACCAGAGAGACACACCGCAAACCCGCTGTCCATATAATAGATATTCCCCGATGCTATTTCGGTCTCTTTTTTTGGTTTTATTGCTACACAGATTTCAAGCTCTGTTCCCTTCATATTTGCAGGAAGGTTTTACATCTTCACCACGGAGATCACAACGACGTCTAGCTCAATACAATTAGGCTTGACCTATCCCAGCAAACCGAGTTACCCAGTCTACAAGCGCTCGGACATTGCGAATTGTGCAGATGACTTCGTGTCATGATTTGAACTCGCACGCCGCGACAGACACCCAAGACCTTTCAAGCCTAAGCACCGGTTGAGCGCTTCCAGACCCTGTAGACCACAACTCCATATGTATACCGCCTGCGCTTGAAACAGCAAACAGCAATTAAAGATCTAATATATACCCCCCCTGACGACCGTATTTCTGATACTCGCATGCAAATGTACCGAAGCGTATCTCACTTAATTATCGCACAGACTCCAGATGTCACGTCACCTCACCCATTATCGGCCATCATCATTTAAGGAGACATCAAACGCATTGAACCTGACTTCGCAGAGTACAAAGCACGTGTAGGTGTCAAGCTGGAAGCTGATTATTTCATACCGCTACCGGCAGCAGCTTGAGCTTTATAAAATGCGATTCCCCACAAGCTGCTTAAAAGCGTGTTGCGCTGTGCAAATTCGTCAGGTTCCATAGGGAGGTACAGCCGGTGGATTCGCCAAATTAAGCGGTTACGGCTTCAGGACGATTTTAGTATGATCGCAGAGTCTCACGAGTTATTGGAGTGAGAAGATCCCTTCAAGTTTAGCAGATATCAATATAATCTCTCGTAATTTTACTGGCTCACTACATCCTTCTCATTAAAAAAGACCACCTCTTGTTCTTATGGATGAGCTTAAACAGGACCAGCTTTTCGTGGATGGCTCTCGTGAAGTCGTTACTGTTGTCTCGACCTTACAACTTTTGACAGGTGAGATATTCTAAATGAAGTAAGATGCATTGCTCTTTTGGCTCTTTAAACACGTCATAGTACGTACTAGAGAGGATATGCCAGGGACAGAGTAGATAGGCATCAGCCGTCAATATTGCAGTTTTTCCAAACATCAACTAGGATTTAGAGTATAAATTAATAACCTCTGTTTTTGACGGTCAAATTATCTTTACAATTTGTGTGACCCACCTTATATCCGTGATTGGCGGACAACAGCCTGGATTCCCGTCAACAAAACTTGATCCAGTGGAGCATTAGCTGAGAAACGAAACAAGATGGTTGCCTCAAAGAAGTCGGTAGGGTGCTTGGCCGCTAATGGCATCATTGCATTACCCATCTGATGGACGAGGTTGCGTGAATTCGGTTTGCCATTTAGGCATCGATCAGCCGTGTCCTGCGAAGTCGGATGGGGATAATTCGATGGAGGAACGACAAGCTAGTATTAATTTCTTTAATTTTTATTCTATGAGCAGAAGAAGTCATCGGACAACATCAACTCGCGTCTTCAACTGGTCATGCGATCGGGTAAAGTTGCGCTGGGCTACAAGCAAACGCTAAAGAACCTGCGCAGTGGCAAGGCCAAGCTTGTGATCATTGCGTCGAATACACCCCCACTTCGCAAGTCAGAGGTTGAATACTACTCGATGCTCGCGAAGACAGGCGTGCACCACTTTTCTGGAACTAACAATGACCTCGGCACGGCTTGTGGTAAATACTTTCGCGTGTCTTGTATGTGCGTTCTAGATGCCGGTGATTCCGACATTCTACGTGCAATGCCGTCTGAAAACTAGCTTATTTTTTGGGGTAAAGCTTAATACGTAGGAAAATATTCTATTGGGGCTCCAATCTTTTTCTTGTCATACTACTTTTCTGATTGTTATGACTACTTGGAACGTGACTATGCTCACCACTGAGGTCCGTGATAAGCTTTCGAGACCACTTTAAAGTCTTGAGGGTCAAATTTCTCAAGCATGACAAGTTCTTCGCTTTCGTCGACCTGGCTATCAATCGAGTTTTGAACACGAAAGTAGGTACAATCACGACCACAATTGGCGTCATAAGGCGGCGTAATAATATCCAGAAAGGCACAGCCAATATCATCACCACCAATGAGCTCATGTAAATTACCGCAATCTGGCAGTAATTCTGTCGTGTAAGGAGCTGCAATGACTTTGTCCATGCAACGACGCGCTAATTTGCTTGTGCCACTAGACACTGTACCATTGACAAAATCATATGATTTTATGTGCAGTGAGCCGTACAGTATGCGTGAGATTACACTCATGCGAGGGTGATCGTGTAGCGGAATAGCTACGCCCGGTGGTAAGATGAAGATGCTGAGCAGTGGCACAGTAAGAAAAACGAATTACTTTCGTACTACTTGCGGTTAATAGCTTACCCAATAGAAAAAGATTCATTCTCGTAGACGTGCTGGTAATGCACGCACGCAGGAGCCTCAATTTCGCTGCAATTTGTTCCCGGCACCTTGAGCAGAACTATACTACACAAAGCAAGATGTCAGAAAGTAAGTTACCCCATACAAAAATGAAATTTACACTATAGTTACAATTTTCTGGAAAAAGTTGGTCGCAAATCGCCTTGATAGGTGCGATCTCTTCAGACGTTAGCGCGTGCGATACACCCTCGTACTTGGCAATGGTATTCAACAGCAGCGACTGAATGTTCTTGAGTGCTTTCTGCCCATCGACTACGTGTTTGTCTTTACCAAAGGAGAGACGCCAGATTGAGTTGAGAATATTCATCGGAAGGTTACCACCTCACTCGTTATATAGCTATATAATGGTCGATTGATGGTTATTCTTTTGTATCCATATCGAAAGGTATAAGTAGCAAGCTTTATATTTGATTCGTTTGTAATTTGACCTTATCTATCAAAAACTGTTACATTATTATATTTTATTTTCTGCTTGGACTCCATGCAGTTACGTTAATACCTTTTTTCTATTTAGTATCTGACCTTTAATTACTTCCTGTGTAGCATGCGTACGTCGAATAAACAAAGACCTTTCAGATATTTGGACGTTGCGTTCATCGTCAGCAGAAACCCTAAAAATAATGTAGCTGCAGTTGTCGGAGACAGAAATGTATTTCTGTGCTACACAGTATTAGATTTGCGTGGCTATGCGCTTAAGACTTCGCTAGGAATAGAACGCGACAGTGGTATTTGGACTTTGATAAGGTGGCGAAGTTTGTAGGGCGCTGAAATGAACTCAAATTGTATCAAATAACTTCTGTTGCATTAGCGGATGTATGTCTTTGTCTCGAGTAAAGTATCCAAAATAGGGCTTTAGCCACTACCAGAATCGTATTTGTAACTGCATACGCTCTAATTCTGAAAAGCTAAGAAATATAAAGCGCACTTAAGTATAGAATCTTGTAATTTAATGAACATCCGGATGACTGTATACAACGTCTTCGCATTTTGCAGCTTAGAACTCATCCCGCCAATTTGTCCGGATGCGCATTTGGTATTAAATTTACCGCTTGACATTCGCGCCTTTGCACAGTCGAAGAGATGACAGGTCTATGGGGAAGCGTGCGTATATTGCTATGGAAAAATTGGCGCATCAAGCAACGTGAAACCAGCTTAAATCGTGGGCGTTTAGGTCAGAGATGGCTCTACCCAGCACTTTTAACAGACGTCATTATTCCTCTAAGTGTTATCCTTCTACTCATCAATCAAATGTGCGACTATAATGCACAAATGGTGGAGCCTGGTGGAAATTTTTCTGAATTGCACCAGGTTGTATCAAACATTCTTCGCAGCAATTCGTTACTGGACGATCAAGGTCTTCCCGAAAAGAGGATTGAAAGTGCGGCATTATTGCTGACCGCATTGCCTTTATTGTTGGCCAAAAGTAACCAAAGTTTGGCATTTTTGCACCGGCCAGACTCGTTACTGTTTCTAGAGTATCTTGATCGGTATTGTATACTTTAACTGCTGCTTATATATGGATTCTTGTGCTCATTTTTATTGGTAACATTGCTGTGTTGTAGCAATTATCCCCCTGCGACCGAGTTGGGCATCTCGAGTTACTTGGACAATAGTAAATTGATTCCGGTATCTGCTACTGCATCGAACGAAGAAGCGGATCACATCTTATTGGAATATCCAAGACAGCATGATTGGAAAATATATGCTGGATTTGATGTGCGACGAGCAAAAAGTGACAATACAAATGTGAATTTCAATCCACTAGAACTCATGGCACTCTTTTACCAGAAAGAGATCACGGAACTTGAGGATCACGAGTCTGATGACCAATTGTCCAAGTTTTATGCAACCGAATGGACATTTAATCGTACGCTGGAATTTCCAGATATTTTACCTTTTCAAATGACGTTAAATCTCCTAATTCGAGAAAACACGACTAATTTTGTGTCCAACGTATTGCTTTCTCATGGTGCGGTGCCACCTAAGATCACTTGTCAAGCTGTGAAAAGGATGTTGTATGTAGCAAGACTTCAATGGAGTGATTTAGCAGCAACCTCGCCTCTTGGACACAATGACTCAGCATGTATTGCTGCAATAACGAACGGCAATTTCTCGAATGAATTACGACATTTTCTATCCAGTCTCGTTACAAAATTGTTTTCGCCTGACCAGTTGAACACGCTGGAAGTTGCAGCACTACCAAAAAGGCCTGCAACCTTGAAAGCGGGCCCATTGGAGTCGAATATTGTCTTCTTACTGGCCTACTTGTTTCTATGGCCATATGCGCTTTTAATTCGGAATATTGTACTCGAGAAAGAACAGCAATTGAAAGAGTATCTGCTGATCATGGGATTACCAGCCATGTCGCTTTTGATTAGCTGGTTCTTGCTCTTTTTTTTTGCAGCGACTGTCGTAGCAATGATCGCTGCGTTATTGCTAAGTGGCAGTATGTTTGCCGCAACTTTAGATGGGACAATCTACTTCTTTTTATTGTTGATGATCTTTGCCTCCAGTGTCTTGTTATTCGGTGTTGCCATTACTCCGATCTTTAACAAAACGAAGACAGCAGCAGCGTGTGCACCGCTTATTTACTTTGTATTGAGTGCTGGAACGTTCATCCGCTCATTAGTGGGCGATGATGCTGTGGCTTCGTCGGAATCGCTGACGTTATTGCTTGAATTTCTTAATGATATCAGCTCACCTGTTGTGTTCATGTCGACATTGCACGGTATTTTAGGATTTGATGCCGTATCATTATCAATCCGGCCCATCACGTACGAGACCGTTGCAATGCCATGTCGGTTAATGGCTGTACAATGTGCAGGTTATTTGCTGCTGGGCTGGTACTTGGAACACGTCTTTCCAAGGACTTTCGGTGTTCAGGAGAAGTGGTACTTTATTGTCCAGCCGTCATATTGGATGCCCAAAAAGATTAATTTATCGGAAACCGTCGATGAAAATGAAGAAACAATGCGTCTGACAGATATGGACGACGAATCTTTTGATAGCGGCATTGATGATACGCTTCGTGAACAGTCCCTTACTGAGTACTTAGAGCACTTTTGTCCTACTCTTTTTGTGAAATCGCTTTCGAAAACGTATCCAAACGGTAAAGTAGCGCTGAGTAACGTCTCGTTTGGAGTTCGAAAAGGTGAAATATTTGGACTTTTAGGACCGAATGGAGCTGGCAAAAGTACGACATTGTCGATATTGAGTGGCATGTTGTCTCCTACAAGTGGAGATGCGTTTGTAAGTGGATCAATCAGTGTCGCGGCAAATCCTCAAACGATTCGACAAAGTTTAAGCGTCTGTTTTCAACACAATGTATTGTTCGATAATCTAACGGTTTGGGAACATCTTTCTCTTGTATGTGCATTGAAAGCTACAATGGGTGTTAAGACTGTGACGGAAGCAACGTGGCGTAGTCGGTTGCAACAGTTTCGATTGGAAGACAAGTCGGACGCTATGGCAAAGACACTTTCTGGTGGTCAGAAGCGAAAATTGTCTCTCGTCTTATCTCTTTTAGACTCATCTCGTGTGCTCTTACTGGACGAACCAACAGCCGGTATGGACTTGAAAGCGCGACTTGATACGTGGGACGCACTAAAACGTGCTGTCACGCACCGAGCAGTAATTTTAACGACTCACTCAATGCAAGAAGCGCAAGCCTTGTGCGAGAATATTGGTATCGTAGCTGAGGGAAAGCTCAAATGTTGTGGCTCGAGTTTATTTCTTCGAAATCGCTACGGTGTCGGATACAAGCTCACAGTGGTGTATCATGACGACGTTAAGCGTGGGGAAGAGTGGAACGAGGCCCTGATGACGACTCTGGAGAAGTATGTTCCAAACGCGGCAATTGTGAGCGACAATAAGTGGGAAACACGCGTGCAATTGAACGATGGGGACGAACGACGCTTTGCAGAGCTCTTTCGAGAACTTGAGATCATGAAGAAGAGCCGAGTGATCAAACGCTATGCGATCGCAGCGACTAGTTTGGAAGATGTATTTGTTAGAGTGACAGAAGGCGAAGACGTGTATTATCACGCGAAAGATGCTGTTAAAGACGATGCTAGAAGAAATGATGCTCGACATGTGGGTGAACTGGGCAAGATGGAGGCAAAGATGGAGCAAGTCAATGGCATCCACCGACAAGCGAAAGGGTGGCATCCAATCTGGTCGCAACTCTGGGCACTGATACTCAAGCGAACTAAAGTCACCTTTCGCGACAAGAAATCACTTTTTGCACAGTACATGTGGCCTATCGGTTTTTTTGCGATAGCAATGGCTGCTTTTCAGCACGTGTTGGATTCGAATGGATCTATAGAGACCGTCACGGCTTTGGCTTCGTCTGCAAAAGACGCCTCACTCTTCATTGCTTCGCCGTCTAATATGACTAATTCAGTCATGGATCTTGTGGCACAACTCGAGCACAAACCGCAACCAGTTGTGTTCAATACAACTGTGAGCACTGAGCTGGAGATGTTACATGCGATCGCTCATAAGAACTCAACTTTTTTTGCTGGTATCTTTGTTTCGAACGTCAATTGGACATCGGAATCTTCGTTGCTGTCTCCTCTAATTACATACTCATTATTTTATAATGAAAGTGTGCGTCGTGCATTGCCTGTGACGCTGCAATTGATGTCTGAAGCATATTGTAGAGTCCGTGCGAAGTTGGAGGATTCTCCTGATATCAATAATTGTAATTTGGTAGTCAAGCGAGGTATTTATGAACCTGATGTCGTGATTGGCACAGGATTGACTCAGAATGAACAAGATGGCGTCATGATTGATCCAGATGAGGCCTTGAGCATTGTGCGACGTATCATGGTGGCTTTTTATCTGCTGATGACTATGAGTACAATCGCTGGGTCTTATGTTGGACCCATTGCGCGAGAGAGGGAAAGTGGTTTAAAACGGATGCAGTACCAGCATCTTGAAACGGCTTACGCGTCATCTTTATACTGGCTATCACACTTTCTGTTTGACTACGTGGTATACATACTGGCAACGCTGACCATATGCCTCGTTCTAGCTGTCTTTACGAACTGTTTAACAACTGAGATTTTGATCGTGTGGTTTGCCACAATGGCCGTCTTCGGCCTCGCAGTTATTCCTGGTCAATACCTTAGCTCTCTCGTCTTTGCGTCGCATTCATCGGCTCAGTCGTACATGTCGTACATATCATTCTTTCAGATTATGGCTGCTGCACTCTCGTTTGCCTTGTCATTAGTTCCAGGACTGTGCGTCAAAGCCAATTACTTTTCATACGTTATGCAAGCTTTCCCCTTGTATGCGTTTGGTACGGCAACATTGAATATCGTGACCGTGTCGTGGGCGCCAATGCGACGTCAGTGTTTGAATATGGGTGGTGAATTTAATATAATGGATCCATTCGCTATGCTGCAAAGTCTAATTAGCCAACATACAGTATCGGTGTGGTCATGGGATGTCACGGGGAGTAGTTGGTGTGCACTGATTGTATCCGGCGTCGTGTCTACGTTGCTTCTCTTACTCGTGGATCAAAACCAAATGTACCCAACGGTTGTTAAACAATTAATACGATCGCGTTTACGTGCGTTGCAACGCCTTTTGCCTCACGGACATGGCTACAGGGCAGCTGAACAAACTCCATTCGATGACGAAATCGATCAATCAAATATGGTACGTGCGATTCGCATCTCGCACGTGTATAATCCTCGTAAATCGACATCATTAGAAGCAGCAGCAGAAGCTAACGCTGAACAAGTGGCGCCCGTTACGATGCAAAGTGGCCAAGTTGTAGCGCTGGATAATGTGAGTTTTTCCGTCGAAAAACGTGATTGTGTAGCGCTTTTGGGCGTGAATGGGTCTGGCAAATCGACTATGTTTGAAATCTTGACAGCAGGAATCGCACCAACGAGTGGGAGAGCACTGATAGATGGTTGTGATGTGACTGCCCAGCCTCGAGAAGCTAGCAGTCGATACGGCTATTGTGCTCAAGGAAATCAGTATTTTGAAGACTTAACTGTGCGTGAGCACCTCGAACTTTTTTACCGCCTCCGCGAGTATCGATCGAATGAGTTGAAGGTGGAAAGTGTCGTGATTGATAAACTGATGCAGCGCCTGGATCTGATTCCAGTAGCTACGACGGCAGCGACTTATTTGAGTGGCGGCAATAAGCGACGATTGATGCTGGCACTAGCACTTTTGAGCGACCAAACTTCACTGTTGCTACTGGACGAACCGTCTGCTGGCGTTGATGTCGTAGCACGGCGTCTCATGTGGCGTGTATTGCATGAGAAGCGCGAGAGTGTGAATAGCACGAGCTGTCTGTTTACAACTCATAGTATGGAAGAAGCTGAAGCAGTGTGTGCGAATGCTGTTGTATTGTTTAAAGGAAAAGTTGTATGGTGTGGAAGTATCCCTGACTTAAAACAGCGCATTTCACGCGGTATTGCAATCAGTGTGCGTCTCGACAGTTTGTCCATCTGGAAAACTGAGCAAGTGCAGCAGTATACTGAGCTCATTCAACGGTCATTAAAAGGATGGACAAAAGACTTCGAGCAAACTGCTATAAAAGTACGTCAGCTGAATGAAGCGTGGGAAGTATGCAACAACCATTTTTACGAAAAGGGTGATGCAGCGACAGCGGCGGCAACTCGACAACATGTTGAGACGTGGCTGGCAGGCCTTCGGTCTCGATTTGAGTCGGACAGTTATGATCTTTTGACATCAAACGAGACGGAACCAGTCATTCCGATCCTTGAATTCGTGCAGGAATGGCTCTTACGAGAAGCATTTGTCCGACTTGAGACGCAATTCTTTCAAGAATTTACAAAACGATCAGGAGAAGCGGTAGTGTCGGCGAATCTTGATACTGCTTGTGGAAGTGGCAGCAACTCAAATGGTGTGTATGAAACAACGTGTACTGATGAATTTAATCTGGCAGATGTGTTTCAACTCTTAGAAGACAACAAAGAGCGCTTTCACATTGCGCAGTATAGTGTGAGCGAGCTCTCACTTGAGCGCATCTTTGAACAGTTTTCAGGTTAAGCTCGAAGTAATAGATTATACTTTTATCTGAAATTTCGACATTCTTAACGTATATTGCGGTAATATATTTCTTAAGAAGAAAAATAGTATTACTATTTTCCTATTTTCTAGTTTAACGGATGTCCTATTTCGAGAAAACCTGCAAGCTAATTTCGGAATGGTGCATCTGGAACGCTGGATGAAGACACATCACAACTTTATTAGCTTCGTTCGCTTATTTTGAGTCTACAAGAAATTCGATTTTTTATATGGTAGGTATGCTTGTGGTTTTCGGTAGTTTGATCATGGCAATTTATACGAAGAGGGTCTTGGCTACCAGGGTATCGTTTCTCAATCATTGTACCCACGACGTTAACTTGTACGACAATAGTGTCACTGAGGTTATTACAACGGGATGCACTACGTCTCGTCACCTGGCCAATGGCTTTAGCGGAATGTTTCGTGATGGTTTAAGTCCCGAAGCGACTTTAGCTCAGTTTGCCATCAGCGGTGGCAAAACTTGGTATGCTATCAGTACTGTTCCTCCTCAAGCAGGAAATTGCACTAGTTATGATGAATGTGCTGAACTTTCGGGTATGAAAGGCTACAATGTTGCTATGCACATCAATCCCGTTATTGGTACCACGGCTGTAAATGCTGAATGTACGGCTGTAAGCTGTTTGAGTGCCGATTGTGAAGGAGCCTATTTGTATCCGACCGATTACACCAAGTTACATAACTGTCTTGATACCTTTGCGTTTCAAGTGATCTTTTGCCCTGATGAGTCAAGTTTAGTCACCTCCGCTATCACATCGTCAACCTCTTTAAATGTCGCCGACAATCACGATCAATGCTCTCGATCGCCTTCTGTGCCAAGTGTTGATTTTCCAATCACGACTAACATAAATCACAAATCAAGTGGAGGTTACGTAGCGAGAGACTTTTCCAATGCATCTATCAGCTCGAGCTTCGTCTACAGCGGTATAAATGCTGGTTCCGCCGGTGGTACCTATCGTAAAGTTACGGAAATAGGTACCTGCACGACCGAGGAGGTTTTTAGTAAAGATCCTGTCGGTCCCATGAGTGAGGAGGTCTCAATGGTTTTTCGAGGTCCTTTGAATATTCACAATATTGCAGTGTTTACAGGATCCATTGAGCAAAACTGGAGTAAAGTATCGTCTTACGATGCTAGCGCCGGCATTCAGGACAACTTAGTGTTTATGAGTAATCTGAATGTTGATTACACTGGAGCTAATTCAAGTCCTCAGGGTTACGCGACGGCTAATGCGACGGCGACTGCAACAGAATCAACTCTTTTTAATGGCTGGCTTGCAGATGCCGCTGACACTTCGATTCGTGGTGGTGGTCCATGTGTTTCCACTGGTTGTGAAGTGAATATTATGACGGCAAAGAAATGTAGTGAGGTTGACGTGTGTATTGGATACTATGGTAAATTAGGTTATCATGGATGGAATGGTGGCATGAAGATGTTTGTAACCAAAGTTCAGATGCCGATGGGATCGACGGCGAACATGCCAGCTATTTGGCTCCTTAATGCTCAGGTTGTGCGTGCGAATCAATACGGCTGCAATTGCCGTGGGTGGGGAGCTTATGGTGGCTGCGGTGAAATTGATATTTCGGAGGTAATTGAGACCACCACTGGATATAATAAAGTTTCAACGCATTACTACTTTTACGATGGCACTGTGTCTCCTGGTGCAGACAACTACGCTGCTCGCCCGATAGACTCAGCAGTAACCTACGTTGTTATTATTGACAACTCTAACGATGGTATCATAAAGATTATTGAAATTGGGCGCGACGACTTTGACTTTTCAGTAGACGCGGTGAGTGCTCAAACGGTGAAGACTTGGCTGTCCACTCCTGTAAAGAATCTTTTGAGTTAAAGCAGCTTTGAATATATGACCAAACTTTTGGACGATAAATTTACATAACACGATTCTTGAACGTTCTATACAATGAAGTTTTCAAAAGCCATCCATACAAACTCGAAACATGTTTTTTATAAGGACGGAGCGATTCGACGAGGAGTGAGTGTCTTGCGAAGTCGCTTTCTGCCTAACACAGGTTGGTGAACAACCACTTTATTCTGAACAGAGGATTTGGACAAAGGCATTACCAGCTCAACGCTACTGGACGTAGTCAGAACACTTTCCCCAGAAATTTTCGGTTCGCTAACGAGCGGAGATGCGGCTAGACTGTTTTTTGGCTCTGATTCGCTATCTCCTTTTCGTTCAACGTTAAATACTGTCTCCAAACCACTGTCTGGTTTGGCTAATTCATTATCATCACTTTCCATTTCACTATTTGACTCTGACCTCGACATGTCTTCAATTTTTTCACTCAAGTAATTTTCAGGCTCATCCTCGTCATCATCACTACCAGCATCGGTTATCATGTCAATCAGCGAGCGTGGAAAAGTAGGTCCTCGATAGTAAATCATACAATGCTTGTTCTCTTCACTCGCCACCACTTTTGGTTTAGGCCCACCAAATACTTTTCGGCAATAAGTACAAAACCATTGATCGTCATTGCTTACTTTCATGATTCGTGGTTGAGCACAGCTGAAATGATACGCACGAGGACATCCATTGCAAGAGACTAGATCACCTCCAGTTGCACACAATTCACAGAGTTGATGATGATAGTCATTTCTTTCAAGATTCAAATCATTGGCCCAACAACTTAGCTGTTTGACAACTTTTGTTGTCCTCCTTAACTTTCTTGCTTTTCGAAGCTTCTGCCACTCTTTAAAATCCTCTGAGCGCTTCCACAAATAGTACTTACTTACTACTTGCCGAGTACTAACTTTCTTTTCAAGAGCTTGCTGGACAGATAGTAGAACCATCATGCTTTGCTATTTTTGGCCATACATTACTTTAAGACTCACCTGAATACGGTAAAATCTTTTTCCATGTGTCGTGATTGCCTTTTTAAATACTTCTGACGTTAATAATTTATCAACGTAGTGTCGCGCTTTATAATGTACTCGACGTTCTCCATGTAGCAGCTTCACAGCTTCTGAAACGTTGAAATTTCCATCAAAAAGGCATTGAAGAGCCTATCAAGCGTAACGATATGAGTATAAAATAGTATTTTTTTGTAAAATATGAGTTAAACAGACCAATTCTGTCTCCTTTAGCCATGCAAATTTAGCAAGGAATTTGTCGATGTCTTCAGTCTTTAAATGGGGTATTCTATCATTAATTTGTTGCTGACCCCAACGTTGACGATACTGCGGAGTGTATACAAGCTCGTCCTGCTGTTTCTGCGATAGCAACGACGGGATCTCCACAATAGGATGATTCCTCGCATTCATTGTAGTATAGTGATTGAAACAATGACTTTATTGATTAAATATTAAAAGTTCAAGTAGTATCATTGGTTAAATAGTACTTGTAAGAAAGTGTAACGATGCTATTTCGATGAGGGTATTTTGATGATGAATTGACTAAGAATAAGAGAGATTTAATAGAGTGTTTTGACTTTGCTGGAGCTAATGAAGACGGTCTTCCAAATGAAAAGCATGAACGACTTAGCGATGATCAAAATATTTGGCTTAAAGAAAAGCAATTGCCTGGTTTTCATCAACAAATGATCGAATATTTTGATAAAATGGAATATATATCACGTCGTCTATTAAAGGTATTCGCCGTGGCATTGGGCGAAGAAGCTGCATTCTTTGATCAATTTTTTCAAGGGGATAACTCAAATTTTTTGAGATTAAATCACTATCCGGTTGCGTCACACCCTGAAACGACTATGGGGGTGTATCACCATACAGACGCTGGTGCACTTACTGTCTTACTACAAGACGATCGAGTAGCATCATTGCAAGTATTTCATCAAAAGTCACAGACGTGGACGCTTGTGTCGCCTCGAAAAGGAACTTTTACGATTAATATTGGTGACATGCTTCAGATCTGGTCAAATGACAAATTTGTTGCTCCACTGCATCGAGTTCTGGCGAATGGAAGTGCGGAGCGATTCTCAGCGCCATTCTTTTACAACCCATCGTACAGGGCGAAAGTTCAGCCGATTATAGTGGAAGAAGGTGAAGAGGCTAATTATCGTCCGTCGAACTGGCGCGAATTTCGTCTAGCACGATTCCAAGGTGACTACGCTGACAGCGGCAAGGAAATTCAAATTAGTGCTTTTAAAATTCACGGACCGATTGATGCTATGAACATGTAAGATCGTGCGTCGCTTTTAACGATGTACATAACATTATCTCTGAAATATAGTGGAATTGGTTGTTGATATGAATGCGACTTGAACTGAATCCATACAGAACTATCACGACTGTGTAAGCAAAAAAAGCAACGTTTTTGATGCGACGATATTGCGCCACTCGGCTGACTGCTTGTTGATTAGTACAGAACACCACGGAAACACTTCGCTTTTATTCTAACATGTAAGCTGTCGATGTAATTATAGAAAGAGTTGGCCAGCGATCTACACGGCGTATGCCGAGACATTATCGTTTTGCTTGATGAGAGCAACGTCATAGTTTTCACTGAAATGCGAGTCCATTGTTCGATTTAGTGTCAACTTTTCAGCAGATCGCAATGCAAATACTTTCATGGTGCGTTAAGCATAAATTTGTTTTCTGACGTTAAGATGTGAGATTTTGATTTTGCGGATGTCTTTCTAATATTGCCGGATGATTCGCATGTTTCGATTAATATATTGTGTACCTCGCGGTTGTTTGACGGCTTTTTAAATTTCACCTATGTCTCTACACGTCGATTACGGATAGCATAAAGATTAGACGGGCAATTAAGGGTTTGTGTAAATATACTTGACATCAGAACACGCGTGATGAGAGGTAAAAGTAGGAAGGACTTATTGAAAGACAGCATGATGACAGTGAAGCAGTCAGTTTACCCACTTTTACATGAATATCGTAAGCCGCGGTACGGCTGAACTTATGAGCGCGTTTGCCGTTGTCGCCGCGTCAAGATGATGCGTCTAGGTAGTACAAACACGCTGTAACACGTCTGCAAACGCTTGAAATATCATGTGATATGATATCGCAGCTGCTGACCATGCCATTAACCGTTTTTAATTTTTCGTAGTCCCGAACTAATTTGTATACCCCACGGGTGTATCAGAATCGCGAATTTTTTTGTCTCGACCAAGCAAAGTTTGAAAACTGAATTATCTGACGGGATGAGATAATCGCTTTCAAGATGTTTTGTCAGATAAAACTTGAACAGAACGCCTCCCCGTAACATGATTTATGATCACAAAGTTCACGGAGACAATTCAAAAGGCTTAAATGATGGTAAGCTAAACAATTTTTACTTGCATCAAAAGTGGTTATACATGGGGTACTACAATTGATGCCAGATGTAAAAACTGGTTGCCAATTGCGGATGCACAACAGCCTTTATCCACAACTTATCTCTGCTTATTCTCTGAAAGCTGCAGTGCGTCTTGAAATAATTTTAGCTCTGATGTTCATTTGAGTCTGCGGCGCCTGTTGAATTGTAACGCTGCTAAGGGGACAAACAGCTCATTTGTTGAAAGTTTGAGGTGCGCAGTAGAAGGCATGTTTAGAAGGGACCATTTATATAAATTTGGTCCTCGGTTCGCTATTTTGTGCCACTTCTGAGCCTTTCTTATGACGTCATTTTTGGTGCAATCATGTCATGCCATCATGAACGTAATCATACAGTGTCGTCTTACAGGCCGGGAACTTGATCATGCAACATATTTTTTCACCGTTCCTCGAGCACTTCACCTCGCAATCGTAATCTCACCGCCTTACCAAGCGCAAATTAACAAAGCTCGCAACTCTGCAAGCTTGCGCTGATCCAGCGCCTCAGTTTTTAATCTACCAACATACGTTCCGACCGAGCGTAACTCACCTCTACAACGCCGTGACAACCAAAGTCTTAACAAGCTTTAGACGCAAGTCGATGTGCTTGGCTTTGAGAGATGACGACAACCCTTCGAATTGTTGAATTGTGGCCAAATTATTCACATGCATCGGCCTAGACCAAGCAGGCCTCGCGGAGCTCGCATTGTGTCTGAGATGTTTCAAAAATAATATCTTTTCTATATAGAAAGAGATACGACACCCTATGTTCTATCTACTCACCGCACGGGCATATCATAAAGGAGCACGACGGCACCAGTGAGCGACTTCCTGTCACCGGGGGCAGCAAACGTTGACATCACTGTAAGACTCGAGCATTATTAGATCGTAGTGCCCGGTGTTAATTTGCATTTCGAGTAAAATCACTTGTTGTCAATATGTTAGCGCGCAAACTTATTGTCAAATTCCAGCTTCGTAGGCACGATGCAAGAGTCTGTCGCATGCATTATGAGCCGCAAATGCAATATCTGGGCGCGTGTATTGTGCGATAAATAGTAGACAACCGACCAGCAACTGAAAAGAAGGCAACTCGAGCGCTGCTCTCTGCAGCAACACACATTCTGACGTGACATCGCCGTAACCGATAGACGTTCGCGTTGGATTCGCCGACGACATGCCGTCCTCACTTAACTATACAACAAAAGTCTTCTCCCGATCGAGGGCCGTCACTTTTATGCCGAGAAACATTGTCAACGGTCCGATAATCTTGATAAAAAGCGATGCTATTGCAACTTAAATCGCTCGACCGCCGCACCTCTTGTTCTGTAATAAGGTGATCATCGACGCAGACGTTGACCACTGTGAATTCTGTTTCGTTGCGCTAGAAGTATGGGCACGTGCCTCTGATACACTGCTTGAAGCCTGTGTCAGTGAGCCGTGTGTGCAACAATTATCTACTCTGCTTCAGCTCATACAAGTTATACTGTAGCACGAGCGCGACTTCACTTGCATTGGTCGCACCAAACGTCTTAAAATGATCATTTTTGATCTTCATACTACTAGATACATGGAGCAGAACCTCTTTGTCTTTCTTCTTGTCAGCCATGACGTAGGCGTTCGAAATGTGACCATGCTTTGCCTTCCTTCGCCTTCACGTTGCTGATAATCCTAGGAAAATCTTTACTGTCGGTATGTCCATGAAGGTGGCAAAAGTAAGCCCGTAGTCTCCGCCGAAAAATTGTTCATTTCTCGCACGCAACTAGCCGCGCCTATAGATAATCCACTGCGCGTCCCGTGTACTTTTAATCTTGGACATTCACTAACTGTGTAACATGTTGGCCCCAGCTAGTCGCTTGATCACATTCCACGCACCGTGCTTTTGAAAGCTAGGATTTTTCAAACATTGCCCTTCTCCATCTTTCTGCTTTTGTACTGCACATTGCCTCTGCGTGCTTCTTTGGATCAGCCTCGTAAACTTGCATCTTAGCTGGTCCTTAATTTCCTGGTCGCTTAATGCCTTGTGTCGCTTTTTTGACAGCCCCTCGTGATGCATGGGATGCACGTACCCACGATTTCGGGTCCTTCATGACTACGGTTTCAGCTGCGATGGGAACAGTTTGCGACGTCACTTCCCTTGCATCCGCCTCAAAACGTAGGTGCTCGTTGTGACTGTCGAGGGATGCCTTTACATGCCTGACGTTTTGCGACAAGATCACGACATTGTCGTTGCATACGATCACGCGACCTCTTTTGCTTTCATCGCTGCCACCCACGACGATTCCAATCTGCGCCCGACATGCAAATGGTTTCTTTTGCGGTTTATGATGCACTGGCGACGCTGAACCAAACCTAACGATATCGGGTGCTTGGCTAACGCTCAACCTTGTGGGACTGCACTTAACTTTTTACAAAACTCCACCGCATCTTTTAGAAATTTAGCAGTAGCTTGTTTGAAAAATCAAAAGACGTGCCATGTTCAGAAGTGCCTGGTTTATACGCACTGTCTTGCTTATTAAGTTGATTTCTTGCCTTGCTAATGTGCCGCGACACATCGACGGACTCGCCAGACATTCCGATGTCCACCACCACCATCTATCCATCGTATACGAATATGGCAAACGAAACACTTCTCAACGAATTCTAGGAACTCTCTGATCTTTTTACAGCCTGGTCCTTGGTGCGCGCCAGAAATTTACGGCAGCGATTGCTCTTGTGATTGATAAAGTTAGCGAGGTACAGATTCCTAAATCAGACTCTTGATGTCAGCGGTATACTCAGGTCCGATCCGATCGAACCTTCAATGCAACCAATCGGGGAGCCCACACCCAATCTTTCTACGCCAGCGCGTTCATGGCGTACTTCTTTGTGCACACGAGTCGCACACCATGCATCAGCAACCCGAACGAAGTCTGAATCGAGCGCCATCTTCTTGATTATGTCGTACGATAGGTATAAAGAGCGCTTGTGAAAGCACTTGAGCGTACGTCTTTTCCGTATTCCATTACCGTAGCGTTCGATGTCACAATGGAGCTAACCAAGCTAAAAGCCGTCGTATGTCTTACGCTTCCACGACAGGCACGCTGTTTTGCATCGTCACATCAACGACGACGCCACCGGTGCTGAGCGATCTGATCGCTCGCTGACCGTCTACGCACGCGAGCCCGTATACTTTGGGCACGATTTTGCTGTACGACAATATCTTACGGACCCTTTCGATGAATAGTAGATGTTCGTTTGACGAACAATGCTGGGCTTGCCGTGCACCATTTTCGGCAATATCACCCTTCCAAACAGCGTTAGCTGAAGCACCATGCCATTGGCCACCAAGCGCAGGTCGTCACATTCACGAGCAATTTCGAGCTGCACTGCATCGTTCCGGCTCGATTTGATGTTCCAGTTATCTTGTGCACAGCAAGATGTTGTCAACAACGTCTTAGTGTTGACGTTCCTATTCCATCCGCGGTTGACTTCGTCACTCTACTTCTTTCTTTCCGTCCGGATAAGCCGCCAAAATGCGACTAGCTTCGCCGTATCAGAAGAATGTTCGCGTCTCGACATGTGGCATGCTCTTGCGGATGTACGTAATGACGTCTTATAAGCGAATCAAGATCACTCGCCAGTTTCGATCGACTGCGAAGGCAAAATTCGCGAGATATTCAGCTTTAGCGAGAATTTCAAGAAGCCTGGAACTATCCTATGCCATGAGCGCCGTGCACAACAATGTCATCGAGGTTTTGCGCGACAACACCTCGACACGCTAGATCTCTGCCACCAAGTACATAGAGTGCTCGGAATAGGCCCCCTTAGCTTTGTTCCTTGCCATGAGCTGTGTCATTGACTGTGACGTCGGTATCATTGTCATGAATGTCTAATGAAGTTGCTCCATGACATGTGCCAGAGTTGGGAGCTGGCGCTGCCAATCCTCAACCTGCTTGTTGCAGTATTTGTGACTGAGCAAGTTCGTAGAAACTAAAGCCACACACGACTAGATCTGATGCATAACGCCCAGCCCCGCCTAGGAAGTTAGACCCGGATCTTGGTACAGATCCTTCACGGAACACTTGTGGATCATGAGCCTGTGCTGTCACTCATCTGGAACCCGCATCGCTTGTTGCGCAACCGGCTCTATTTGTCGTGCACAAGCTTATACTGGAATGTTCGTTACGTTCCTAGTCCTCATAGAGCACATGATACACATGGATGCCTCCAGGACGAGCGAATGCTCGAGGGGATTAAGCTTGGGATGTTTCACTCTGCTGTTGGCAACGGCCGAGGCGGTACGCCAATGCACATCGACGGGCTAGGCCATTCGCCAGTGCTGCATAGGGACAGCCAAGGCCGTGTATACGCACAGCATGCGCATGGAGTAGGAAGACAAACTGCAAGGTCAGAATGGACAACTTCGCACCGCGAAGTGCCGTATCAGACCCAGTTTTGCTCACTACAGAAATTCTGCAGTGGTCAAAACTGGGTCTGACACATCCACGAGCGTTCGGCGTGCCGTTCACATCTGCTGGCGAAGCTGCGACCAATTTGTGATCGACGCCGAAGTTGACTGTAGTTGATGCGCTCGGCGCGTTGTCGTAGCCACTTGGGCTAATAACCAGTGATAAAGATGAAGTGCGCAGTAGTAGACAACTTTGAAAGTAAGTGTACTCAGGTCATAATTTGCTACTATGTGCTACATCTAATTTCTTCATCAGACGCCATTCAGCGCAACGTTGTGACGTTATTCTGTGCGAAATCATGTCACGTCATCGAGGGCGCAATCATACTATATCTGCAGCGGGGATGACGTAGCAAAACGCTTGAGGAGGTGTACTTTCGGTCACCGACCTTTCGTTCATTACAAGAACTAAGTATGGCTAGCGGATCCCAATCAGCTTACTCCAAGAATGATTTTTGCCTTTCCAAGGCTAATCGACTCTTCGGCTTAAATTCCAAACTGATTTTATTTATATTTTTACCCTAATGTTAAAGTTTAGATTTTCCTAAATATACTAAATATATCTAAATACATACATAACTACTGGCTACCGAGCCCCGTACCGTATTCTTGTTTGGGTGTGTGGCCGCATCATGCACATCTCGTGTGATACACACCCCTGTTATTAGGGTTCGTGTAACCCCGTTACACCCTTCCCCATT